ATGGAGTTTCCGTGCATTTTGTCTATACTATTGGTTCAATGAGCTAAGAATGCATCCCATCATTCTGTTTTAACAAGAAGTTGCCCCTGGATGAGCCTTTACCACTAGAGATGATATTATGTGAAGATCAACCTGCACCTGCTAAGAAGAAGAATGTTGGCAACAAAGGTGAAGAAGACCACTCCAACCAAGACCTAGTTTGGCAGATAAGCAACAATGAAACTGATTTTGGGCTATTTTGTAATGGCTATGTAGCCTTCACAAGCTGCAAACAATGGCTATGTAATCTATTTAGTGCTGCCAGTATTGTCCAAGAACATGTAATGCCTATGTTGCCCTGCTGCTCTAGTTAGAAACTACTGAACTTGTTAGCTAGAAGACTATGCAAATTGTACTGGATATGTTGCCTTCGTAGTGTAGCTAGAACCTGTAATGATTGTGTTGCCTTAGTTGTTTTATTGCAAACTACATGCTTATGGACAAGTTTTTAAGCACCGTTATGTTCAGTTTCTCAACCAGTTATGTAGGGAACAAGCAAATGCATTTGCCATAACATATTCCATACATCAGGTTCATAGGTCCATGCCAAATTACATATACCCAAACATTACTCCTACTCCATTTCTACTTCATAAGGTGCATAATTCCTACAACAAGTAGTCCAGCTAGATCCCACACCAACATCTTCTCACAATTGTGATCAAGCTCTCCATCAGTTATTCCATTTGCCTTGCACCAATAGATGGAATAGATTTTGCTTCAACCTCTCCTCCTCCTTCATGATCAGCAACAACATCTTGCACTGTCACCTTGCCTAACTCAACCAGTTTGTCCAGGTATTGTCTTTGCCATTCAAAGAACCCGTGAGTAGTTGGATCCTACAAAAAAAACAAGCAGTACAAGCTTCAAACTCAGACATGTACTCTCCAATCAGCAAATATGACTAAGAAACGAGAATAGGAGCAAACAAATCTCACCCCCTTGCATGGCCGTTGGGCACTTGAAGAAAACCCTACCATAGTTCTCCTTTGTCCATGCCCGTAGCTCAATGACTTGAGCCATGCCACATGGCATTCGATGATGAGGAGTCTGGTCTCCTCTCCAACCAAGTCGTAGGGCCTAGGGCCAATGGCTGATGTGGCATTAGGCGAGATGCCCTGCTCCCTTGCCTCGATGACTCTCCCCTCCCTACCAGCAAAACATGCCGAGGGTGGCGAGGTCAGCGCGAGGGGAGCGTCCCTGGGCGCGATGTGGGAGTGTGTTGCCTATTAGGGAGTGCGGCGTTCCAGTGCGCCAGTGTAGAAGAAGAATGTGGGTGGAGAAGAAGAAGAATGAAGGTGGAAAAGAAGAATGGGGCGGCATGGAATGGGGAGTGAGCCCACACGTGCCTAAGGGATAAGGCAGGTCCACGAGAGGTCTGTCGCGTGCCCCTGCCATGCTCGAAGGGTGACTTGGCCAGCCACGTCGACAAAATGTCTAAAACAACGCACTTTTGGTGATTGTCGTGGCAAAATTAAGGACTCTCCCAAAGCTGTCAATTTAGTCCTTGCTAAACGTAAGTGGCAAAAAAAATATCCCTGAATCTGGGTCGGTAACAAACGTGGCCTCCTAGCCATCTTTTTATCAACTAGGTAAATGTCCGTGCATTGCAACGGGAACACATAATACCACGATAACATATATATATGAGCGTGTGTTATACTATTATCTAAAATAGATACCGCAATCATAATGTTTCGATCAATATTACATAAGTCCTCATGAAAGATAGATAGTTAAAATATAACTCTAAATTTGAATGCAAAACTAAAACATCAACTTCAATTGTCGCATCGCTGTTTCTTAATGTAAAGAGCGACATTCACAGAAAAATTAAGAAGTTACCTGCTGCCTTGTTTCTTAATGTAGCCATTTGACCTCAAGCAGTACGCTATTGGGGATTTAGATGAGCATAATAAATGTTGACCACATGACCTGCATTTTCAATTCAGGAGAGATAACCGGAAGAAAAATTCGCATCAACACTATACAGAATAGTAAACCAAGGCCATTACTGTATTGCACTGTAGTATTTTGTTTGTATTTGGTAATAATTGTTTAATCGTTGACTAATTATGCTCAAAACGTTCGTCTCGCAAAATACAACCAAACTGTGCAATTAATTTTTGATTTCATCAACATTTAGTACTCCATGCATGTACCACAAGTTTAATGTGACGGAGAATCTTCTTTTTACTTAGTGTCAAAGTTGAGAATTTGGGAGGAACTAAACACACCCCAATTAAACTTGTAAGATGGCAAAGCAAAAACAGTCATTTTCAACTGAGGGCGCACGACATCGCCGCCCGACTCTGATGAAATTCCCCTACAGTCCACAGTCATTTACACCTGAGGGAGCACGGCATGGCCTTTTTTGTTTTTAATTAACCACAGTAGAATTCATGTATTGGATTTGGATCCGTAGGAAACTGAAAGATGCAAGCTATCTCTATCCAGCTACCACATCCGCATTGCTATCTTCTCTATGTAGTTTCATTATAGAATAAATTAAGGACGAAAGTATAGATGCTAACCTACGAGGGTTTAGGGTTCAGGCGTGTATTCCTCCGCTGCACTGCCTCCATCGAGGCCGCCCGCTTGCCGCCAACGTCGTCCGCTCCCGGAACCTACGAGTGTTTAGGGTTCAGGCGTGTCTACGCCACGGGTTTATCTCAGGGATGCACATTAAAACAACCAAACGGCGATTTTTTTTCATAGTTTAATCCGAAAAACACTCATGCATAGCAAGACATAATAGGTCATGTTATCACTCAATCTATCAAGTGTGCAACTTCATTCTGGAGATCAACAAGCATCTGTTTGAGGTCACCTGCTCGTGATCCAGCTCAACCTTGGCACATGAGTACATACATAAATAAAATCAAAATAAAGTTTTGAGAAGTGGCCGCTGAAATTGATTCCAGAATGTAGTTTTTATACCGATGCTTGTTTACTTAGACGAAGTTGCTCCAGCACATCAGCTGTCAATCGATTTGGTAGAACTTCTAGCAATTTAGCCACCTGAGATGCAAGTGGAAAGCAATATTTGTCATCGAAGTTTTTAGTGCGAGTAATATATGATTCAACATGGCTGATGTCAGATGCTTTCACAAATTCCTAAAACAGTGACTCAACAGATGGCTAGTTGACATGATCTCAACCAAACAGTCGCGGATCTAAAAAAATTCATGTGCAATTTGCTAAAACATATTTAGCAATTCAGTAATCCATTTCAAAATTTGTCTCATAATTTAATATATACAAGTACTAAATAACATAATAGATTAATAGTTCAAAAAATATTACAATACTATTTGTATGGTTTTCTAAAGGACACAAAAAGTATCATACACCAAATTATCAAATGATTAAAAAAAAGAGGGGATGGAACGTAGGATCCTCACAAAGGAGGTATGGTGCGGCGGGAGATCATAGATGCCTCGAAGTCTCTGTCTTTGAATAATTCGAAGCCTTTGTCTACAAATAATTCCAAATCGAGATTTCATAAAACTATGGTTCGGAGAAACAAAAATGACTACTCTGTAATCATATTATGGATTAGAGTTCAGAAAGAATACGCTACTTACTCTTGATGTATATTTGCTTTACTGTCTCTCGTTAGATTAGTTTGATCATAGACCCTCCTGATCGGAACGGAATAACTCTGCTACTGCAGTCAGAAGGCACCAATTCTGCTGGAATCGATCATAGACCCTCTCTCACAAAACTACGGTTAGCACCATAACATGCAGAACAAATCAAACCTACCTCTGACTCGATGTCTGCCTCCGCCGCGCCGCCATCATCCCTAACTTTTCCCCCAAACTTGGAACCCTAAATCCCGAACTAAGGCATGAATTGGCGGATTAATACCTGCTCCAGCATCAGTGACGCCGCGCCGCCGCTGCCAGGAGGCTCCCCTCCCGCGCACGCGTCCGCATGCCATCGACATCCTCCTGTGCACGCGGCCGCTGCGAGACCGAGGACCGGCCGGATGCGGTCTCCTCGGCGACCGAGGGCTTGGACGACTACGGCACCGGATGCGCCTCCTGCTGCTGCGGATGGCTGGCGGCCGGTGCCCTACGGTCCGGCGCCCTGGTGGCCTCCCGTCTCGGAGCAACGTCGTGGGAGAGTAGTCGTCGCGTCTCGCGTGTGCAGGGGAGAGGAGTCGTGGTGCGCCAGGGAGCCACGGGGCTTCATTTTTTCGCGATGGCACCTGGGATGCGTGGGAGCGAGCGGTTTTGGTGTTACACCCGTGAACAGAATAGTTATGAATGTTTTAGGCGTAGAGATAGAGATCAACCTGTCACTGGCGTCCATGATTAGCACACAGGTGGAGGCTACTCATTGGCGCGGAACATGTCATCGCATCAACAGCCAACAGTCCAGCGTGTCGCAGGCCGCAGCTGAATACCGTGCCCCATGCCATCGTCACCTCAGAATCATCATCAGGAAAAGAAAAAAAAAACTCACGCCTTCGTCTCGCGTGAAGGTGATGGACCTCGCCTTACCTCGCTCAACGGCTCGAGAGTCGAGAGCTCGAGATTGATAATAAAAGTAGAAAAAAGAAAAAACGAAAAGAAAAGGAAAGTAAATTCCAAAATCCAAACCCTTTCTCCTCCCAAAATCGCAGGGGGCAGGGGCGACAGCGTATCCACTTTCATCGAAGCCTGCCGACATGGCGTCCCTGTCGAATCTCTCCTAGAGCTAGAGCCGACCTCCACCGCGCTCGCGTGGAGTCGATCAGGTGATTGCCTCACAAGGGGTAAGCCGCCCGCCAAATTACGGTTTCGATTTACGGGCTAATTTTGGAGAACGATTTTCCTATTTCGCTTGATAATCTGGATTGTTCTTTCTAGATATCGGATTCGTTGGTGGTGTGCTGTGGTGCGGTTTTGTTGCGGAAATTCATTTTGGTTGATTTTTCTGCGGGCGGGCGGGCGCTTGCTCCGGAGGTGACGATGATCCGTCTTCAGACGTACGCGGCGTTCAGTCTGCTGGCGACGGCGTCGGCGGTGTACTACGCCTTCAGCAGCCGGGAGCAGTTCTACCCGGCCATGGTCTACCTCTCCACCTCCAAGATCTGCTTCGTTCTGCTCCTCAACACGGGCCTCGTCGCCATGTGCGTCGCCTGGCAGCTCGTCAAGCGCCTCTTCCTGGGGTCGCTCCGGGAGGCCGAGGTCGAGCTCCTCAACGAGCAGGCCTGGCGGGAGGTCGTTGAGATCCTCTTCGCGGTCACCATCTTCCGGCAGGACTTCTCAGTCTCTTTCCTGGCCATGGTCGCCGCGTTGCTCCTTATCAAGGCACTGCACTGGCTGGCCCAGAAGAGGGTCGAGTACATCGAGACCACACCCTCGGTGCCCTTGCTCTCACACATCAGGATCGTCTCCTTCATGGTGTTCCTCCTCATTGTTGACTGCCTCTTCCTGTCCAACTCACTCAGGCCACTCATACAGAAGTGGGAGGCATCGGTTGCCATCTTCTTCTCCTTTGAGTAAGCTCGATTTAAAGTTTACACTGCCATGAATTGTCTTTTTTTTGTTGCATTGTGCCGTACAAATGCAGGAAATGTATCTGTGCTATTTCCTTTGTCACTATATCAATGTGCACACTACAACAATTTTGTCCTCTTTCGCAACATTAGAGTAGGGGTAGGGATTTAATTAATATGATCAAACACTGTGAAATGACAATTCCCAAGATAATGGACAAATATTTGCAAATAGGAGATGTACTACATGTTAGGTCCATGTCCATATATCATATGACGATCTTTTTTAGTTTCGTTATATGAAGCCTACCGCAAAGGTCTTTACTCTATAGTAATGCATCCTCTTTACATTTTGTTTACCATCCTTTGCACTGAGCCTTACCCTGAACCCTATGAACAATATCAGATTGACCGTTATTGCTTTTGTTTATTCAATATATCTTATACTTACTAGGTGATACCCTGTGCATTGCTGCGTGAATTTGTAAGAAGAAACATGAATTTTTTATATTTGTTAGAATAGGTTATTACACTATAGATAGCAGATACAATGTACAACAGATACTGAATACAGTAAGAACAAACTCGATTTCTGAAAATTATGGAAGGGCCGAAACTAAACAAAATAGCCGTTAGCTGAGAAGGCAAAGGTAGCACTGAAAAGCAATGATAACACAAGAGATATGTGTTAGCTACAGGAGTACTGTTAGAAATGGTCATCCATGTAAATCATAAAATCTCTATGGATTAAAAAAAAATGCTACTCCATTTCCTTTGCAACGACATGGTCCATCTGTATTTCTATTGAACATGGTAAAGAAATGTGCAAATTTCTTTCAAACTGACCCTTCAATAACTAACATGCATCTCTTATTCAGCCTAGCAAGTCCATCCAGTCAGGTGGGGTTAGAAGAACAAATACAAATGCTTAGCGGTGAGAAAAATGGTTAAACTGGTCATTACAAAGAAACAAATTCGTCGCACAACGCCGCAAAGAAACCACCACCAACAACAACAAAGCCTGTCAGTCCCAAACAAGTTGGGGTAGGCTAGAGTTGAAACCCACCAAGAGCCCCTAGTCACGGTTTAGGCACATAAACGCCGCAAAGAAACCAATTTTAGAAAAATTGATGAAAAAGTAATAGTGTCATTGCATAGAGGGAGGGAGAGTGAGAGGGATAGCCTCGTAGTCTGGTCTGGTGGCATGTAATGTGTCTTCTCTTCCTTTTTGGCTGTTAAATAGTAGCCAGGATTGAGAACTGAAGAGGGTACTTTGAAGGAAGGCAGGGCTGGATATTAATTAGTTAGCAGAACTCATCGGTTACTAAGAAGAATATTGGTGATGAACCAAGGTCTATGCAAGAGAGAATCAAAGGGCACATATACGGTGTGTGTGTGTGCATCAGTGAATTTGGTAGTTAAGTTGGAACTGGGAGGAGCAGCAAAAATTGGTGCTGATGTCCAATGTGAATGTGTGTTGAGAGGAAATAATAGATGGAACATTGATATCAGCTAAATTATTTAGTGGCCAAGGACAGCAGGAACTGAGAATACAGATGTAGCTATAGCATTGAGAAGCTAAGAAGACCAAACAGCCAACTGTTTCTTTCACATTCGAGTAAGTAGCAAATGAAACAGGCAGTGATTTGTCGCTTTTCACTCTTAGAAGAGATATAAGGGGTAGTAAATGGCTAATTGTGAGGATACAAGAGAACATGAAAGGGGGTATTCCTGACAAACTGACGGACATGATCAAACTGGCACTTGCTATCAGACAGCCTTAGTTTTACAGGTGACGTGGCACAATGTGAGAGTAGAGAAATAACATTTATTGACTTTAGTTGGTTCCATCTTTATAAGATATATAGATAGATACATTGACTACCTCAACTGCCTCAAGCTTCTAATCTGTTCACATATATTTGTTCTGACTGCTCTATTACAAAATGTTAGTCTAGCAACTTGTGCAGTTGTCTGTTTAGGTTTGAGCAATAGTTTTAAGTGATAACACTGCGAAGTATTAGCTCCATTTAGTATGAAACCTTCCAGCTATAGAATTTCTTCTTGCCTCTTGCTTCTGAAGCAAGGGCATACCTTCCAGGCAAGGTGACAACCCTATTGGCTAACCTTATGATGGTTTGAAGATGTGCTTCTGTTGTTCTAATTTCTAACTGCCTGGCAATTATTTTTTGATGTATTAAGTTAAGATTCAAATTACTCATAGTAGTTACTAAGTACAAATCATGTTTCAGGTATATGATACTAGCAACATCGACAGTATCAACATTTGTGAAGTATGTATTCTATGTCAGTGACATGCTAATGGAAGGTCAATGGGAGAGGAAGGCAGTATATACATTTTACTTGGAGCTGATCAGTGACCTTGTGCACTTGTCACTATACATGCTCTTCTTCATAGCTATCTTCCTGTAAGTTCAATGGTACTATTCCTTTGAAACTATAGTGTAAACTATGGCTGATGATCCATTATACTGATATCAGGAACTATGGTGTCCCACTGCACTTGATTCGTGAGTTATATGAGACCTTCCGCAACTTCAGAATTCGCATTGCAGATTATGTACGCTACAGAAAGATCACTTCCAACATGAATGAACGCTTTCCAGATGCTACAGCAGAAGAGCTCAATGCGTGAGTTTTATATTGTTCCATTCACACTATCTTGTTGGCTCCACTGTAAAAATTCTTGTGATTTACATTTTATTGTTGTATTCAGGAGTGATGCTACATGTATTATTTGCCGTGAGGAGATGACTACAGCAAAGAAGCTGCTTTGTGGGCATCTGTTCCATGTGCATTGTTTAAGGTCATGGCTAGAGCGCCAACACACTTGCCCTACGTGCAGAGCTCCAATTATTCCCCCAGACAATGGACGTTCTACATCAGCACGACAATATGGAGGTCAACCTGGTGTTCAGCCTGGTGAGATTCATTTTATTGATTTGTTCTTTTTTCTTTGTCACATAATCTGATTTCAGTCCAACATATCAGTGAGTACTGTACTGTGTAGTAAGTTCTATTTGTGATTTCATCTGAGAATGCAGCTGCAGGTACTGACACTCCAGCCTCAGAAGGGGCTCCAGGTGACAATATGAGCAGGCGCCAAGCAAAACTCGAAGCTGCTGTAGCAGCTGCTTCTTTATATGGAAGATCTTTTGTTTATCCTCCAGCAAACACCCTAAATAGGTAATGTTTCTGGAGCAGTCTATACATGGGTGGCTGACGACGCTTGTCTACTTTTATGTACTTTGTAATCACTGAATCTAATCTAATTGTTACTGTATTGAATTAATAGCATTGTAGGGGGTGCTTTGTTCTTTCATAAAGCATACTAATAAGTATGCCATATTCAATCATCAGGTCAGGTCCTCAGTCTACATCAAGTACACCACAATCTGAAGCAAGTAACCCCAATCAATCACAGAAAGACCAAGAACTCCAGATCCAAAACTCAAGTGATGGTTTAGCACCTTTGCCTTTTAGCGCACATGGTGCCACTGGTTCAGGACCAAGCACCAGCAATCTTGAAAATTCACTGCAGAAGGCACAGGAAAACTTTATAAAGAGCCAGATAGAGGTAAGAAAGAATCTTGATTCCGAAAGTACTCAGCTTACATCTTCTACATTACTTTGTGATGCGAGCAAGAAGCGCTGCGTATGAACTAGTGAGCTAGATAGGTGAACATTGACAGCTTGCATGTTGCAATATCGTAGATATTTCTGTTGAAAGCTCATCTTTAGTTGCAATCACGAAAACCTGCATACTCTGCAATCTCCATGTCTAATGTGTTTATATGATAGTAGTTTGCATGATTGGAACAAAGATGAGTTGGTTCCAGGTATGTTTGTGTCATGTTTTTAGTACTTTCAGCCTATGTTAACGTAAGCTACCGCTATTGTTATGTAACAGTCTGCTTGTCATGAAGTTATGGTGTCGGCTGTGTTATCAGGTCGCTAAGAGGGTTACGCCCCAACGGGATTCTTTTGGGTTTCATCTCCATTAAAGTGGCTAAGTTTTTATATTGGCTCGCCGCGCCTAACACAACCCTCCTCCTTTACCAGGGCTTGGGACCTGCTATGCTGGGACACCAAAGACGCCCCACCATTGGCGGAGTTTATCAGGTCATTCAATTAATTGGCCTGATTGGTCTCCTGCCTCCGATTAGGTCCACTGACCTGATTTGGTCGACTGGCTTTTGGGCTGGGCGCTGGGCAGCCCTATGCACGTGGGCGCTGTTAGAGCTTTTGGGCTTCCAATTTCGCCCATTAGGGTCAGTACATGTGCCCATGGGAGATGCCAGATACATGTGTCTCCCTGAGCCCTGGGCCGCCACTCTGCTGTCTGCTTTCCCTTCTGCTGCTGTCGCTGGATCCCTTCCTCAAACCGCTACCGGCACCCACCCCTACCTCTGGCAGGCGCCCAAGCACGAGGATTCTAGATTTTCGATCCAGGGTTAAAAGGAAGGGGACAGATACCCAATATGATTCTTAGGAGGAACGTTTGGTAATGGTTCTCTATGCTCTTTTTTATGTGTTCTTAGTTCTATTCATCTTCTTTGATTCTTTTAAACAAGAATCTAATAAACTAGAATTGAACGGAAAAGAAGAGAGGAAATTAAGTAATGGAGGGGATCGACTAACCAGAGACGGGTACTCTCGTCCCTCAACCATCGTGGCAGCCAGGCACTGCCAGATTCTACCTGATAATGACCTGGTCCCTTCTTCCTTCCTGAAGATGATGAGCTCCTGTCCTCCAATCCTCCATCTTGCTGCGTCTGCTCTGTTTTGATTTGTGATCTGCGACCCTGTCTTGCTCTAGCTCTGCTGCTGCTCTTTTGCCTCTTGCTTTATTGCTCCTGTAGCTCTACTGGCCATCAAATTTCACAAGAATCTGCTGCTCTAGTGTTTTTTTACTCTCTTGCTTTATACTATATACCATATAAGCATGTTGGTCCTGGTATATACAGGACAACTTTAGACAGGTTGACAAGGGTCAACTAATATTCTAATCGTCTGATCGGTGCCTTCGTGACTAGGATCTATTAGGCGATTTGAATTAGGTGTCGTATGCAAATATGCCATCTAGTTACCGTTTGATTCCTACAAAACAGTATGTAGCATGCAAGTATCTTCTCTAGCGGTTTTAACAATCTTGGTTGGCATCTATGATCTGCATTTTACTCTAGACTGCAAGTTCATGAGCTTTGAACAGCTAGCTTTCAGCATTACTGCCAGATTACATAGTCAGCAATTTTGCTCAAGTTGTCAATGCTTTCTCCTACAGCCGACTCAGTAACTAATCATACCAGCCTGTTGTTGAATTCATGCATGCATGGTAGTTATTGGCTCTGTTCGCTGGTTGGTTTCTGGGCTGATAAGCCCGGCTGGTGCTGGTTTGTTGTGAGAGAAAAACACTGTTGGCTGGCTGATAAGCCCTGGCTGAAACCAACAAGCGAACAGGCTGATTACTTTCACTTTAGTATACAGTTGCGTGCTTACCATAATGTGTTGATATTATCAATCTATATCCGAAAGAACTCAAAAGCTATAGCTCTTCATCCCAGATGTTACAAATCCAACTTCAAATGAATCGGCACGGTGCTGCTGTGTCGGTGACTAACAATGAGAATGACGAGCACAAAAGGAATGACTGAAGCTGTAAATAGGCAGGTGGAGATGAGGACAGAATTAAACGACAAGAATTGGTAATACCTAGGGGCAACTGTTACATGATGCCTCGTTGCCCAGATTTTGTACTTTCATGTTCCTGCACTCTTACTGATAATGTTTCTTTTCTCTTTGTAACACCGCTGATAGATAGAGGCTGTCGTGTTGTAACAATGGTTAGTTTCACAGTAATTATGAGATTAAACAAAATCTATCTGCCGATAAAAAATAGAATGGAGCTTTTCGATCCGTGATATAAGATGTGTGTGTTGTTTTTATGCCACTAGAATGGAATACGATCGATGATTTACTGGGCGTATGGAGACTGATTTTTTTGCTTCTACCTACAATTTGGTTGGTTCTTATCTGTTGATGGGGGACTTTCTGAAAAATAAAACTCCAGATGTACAGGTTTATGTTATAATCAGCCTGTTCGGTTGGCTGGTTCGTATCGTTGCTGGTTCGTTTATGTGAGAGAGAAGTACTGCTGGCTGGTTTAGATGAACAGTATTTTTGTGAGGGGGCTAGCCACCCAGCCAGTCCCAGCCGATCACGCTGAATGCTTGTTGTCACGAACCTAGAGAGCTGAAGTGGAATTTTAGGGGGAGATTGGCAAGGATTTGGGTTAAGGATTGGAGGGGAGGGGCTAGGGCTGTGTTTCTGATTTTTTTTTTTGACACAGGCTGTTTTCTGATTTGGGAAAGATAAATAAATAATGAAGCCTCAACGGCATCCTCAAACGGTACGAGATACTAGCTCTTAGCTTCTCTAATGATATTAACTTTTAGCGTATAGCTTATAATATAAATGATTTTATATGCTCTTAAGTGTGTATGAGACGTTCTTGATTAGAAGATATCTTTTCTCTGCTTTCTATTAAAATATAAAATAATATGTTTAGAGCTTTTGTCAGCTTGAAGAAGCTACCATGTTTGAAGAAGCTTTTAGCTTTTTATTTATCTTTCTGGAGAAGTAAAAGCTACCGGAAAATTCCAAACAGAGCCTATAAATCACTGTTGAAGGGCTCCGAGAGTAGATAATAATAATAATAATCAGGTCACCAGCTGGGTATCGTCACTCTTGAAGTCCTGGCGTGGAGCCCAAGGTGAACCGAACCCGTCCATGCTGGGCTGCTGGCTCGCCCGAAGGTGCGCCTCCGATGCCGACACAGGCAATGACCAAGCTAACTAATTCTTCTAGAAGAAAGCATCCTCTAGAAGAAAGCAACGCCCCATCCTCAACTAATTCTTCATAGGTCTAGTTTAGATTGTAAATTTTTACAATCTGAATACTGTAGCACGTTTCGTTTGTATTTGATAAACTTTGTTCGATCATGGATTAACTAGACTCAAAAGATTCGTTTCGTAATTTACAACCAAACTGTACATTTAGTTATTTTTTTTACATATATTTAATACTCCATACATATATCCAAAAATTAATGTGATAGAGAGAGTAAAAAAACTTATCCCCTTACTCTCAAAGGAAACTAATTCTTCTAGAAGAAAACAACGCCGCATCCCGCGACGGCACCTTTGATGGCTAGCGCGCCTAGTACCGCGCGCACTCATCTTCTGCAGGTGGGCTCGGGCCTCCCACTTATAAACCCAATCCACCTCGTCCAAACCGTCACTGAGTCTCGCACTCGCCAACCAAGTCGTCATTCCACGGCTCAGGCAGAGCTCACATCATCTTCCTTCTTCCCTAGAGCCACCAGCAATAAGCGGCGGAGGCAAAAGGAGCGGTAGGCGGCCGGCGGTCTCATGGCGGGAGCGGTGCCCCTGGCCACGGCGCCGGCACTCGCAGCGGCGGGGAGCCTGTACGAGGCGCTGCGGGTAGGGCGCGCCGCGACGCAGGTGGAGATCAAGGGCGCGTACCGCGCCATGGTCAAGCGCCTTCACCCCGACACCTCCCGCTCGTCCTCGTCCCGGACTGCGGCGGCGTTCCTGGAGATCCAGCGCGCCTACGAGACGCTGTCGGACCCGGACGCCCGAGCGCAGTATGACCGCTCGCTCGGGCCGCCCCACCGGCCGCGGCCGGGCGCCGGCGTCATGCGGGTGCGTCGGTGGGAAACGGACGAGTGCTGGTAATAGCCATCAATAGTCTGCTCCGGTAGTCGCGTCGCGTTGCCAGGGGCTCAGCAGTAGGGCCCACATTTTGGCGCCATAACTTTTGTGTAAATAACTGTAAGCTAATAGTTTTTTTTCGCAATATGCATACACTTATACATACGTACACTCATCTTCACCAAACAGTGACAGCTTATGAGCATCTCTAGAAAACTGAGATTGAACTGGTAGATGTACCACTGAAAGAATATCATTAAATCCTGAAATAAATTAAAAAAATTACAAGCATCTTTGTCGAATCATAGAATAAATTTAGGAGAGTACGAACACTCATGTCAATTCAATTACTTCAAAACCAGGTGGACAGGCTTCACCTAAGTAACCCAACAAGGTGAGTTACTGTCACTTTAAAACGAATATAATCTTATTTACATTATCAGGCTTAATACATTGCAAACAAACGAAAACCGCAACCGCGTAATTTTTTGGCATAACAGACTCAAGTGCACATCTTAAAAAAGTCCATATAACCTCCCTCAAAATTATTGACTAGTATGCATGATTTGTCTCCTTTGATCGGAAAACTAGATTTTTAAACTTCTTTAACTTTTGAAACCTCACGTTAGTCACCCTATGTAGTGCCATATTATCCGTCCTACGTGGCGCCATATCAGCAACGAGGGAAGTAAATCATACTTTCGTGTCAGTCTCCTTCACTTTTGTGGAAATCCACATCATGATTCTTCAATCCTTCCATTTGGCCTCCGTAGGGTAGTGGAGTGTCTTGCTACTTTCAATATGAACAGGAAGATGAGATGGGATTAAAATAAACTTTGATCTTTGCTTATTGATCTTGCTGGCATTTCAGCTCCTCTTCTCCTTTCAGGATCTATCCGCAAGAGAATATCTAAATATCTCTTTGACCTAAATATGCAGGACATGTTTGGTTGTAAGTCACAACACGCCACGCCACAACTGATGGTAGCCACGGAAACCAAAGGTGTTGTTTGCTTTGTTACAAACTTGCAGCAGCCACAGCATGCATGCTGTTCATTTTCTTGTCGAACCTTAGGTGCATGATTTCTCCGACTCAAAGTGGGGCGGCGCCACATCATGGCGTGGCTACCAACGGCTAGGAACCAAACAAGCTCATAACAGGATGAACAAACGGCCTCCAAAGATATCTTTGCTTCGGAATAAAACAATTAGCACCGGTTAATTAAGAATGAGCGCCACTATCCTAGCCTGGATCCAGCCAGGCTATATTGATCATGTTCCCTTTCCAATAGTTGTACCTTGTCATGGGGCATCATTTGGGAATGTCAATTAGACTTTCTAAACAAAGTATAAAAATATTTTTTCAAAAAATACCCAAATATTTTTTGGAATAAATATGTATTTAAAAATACTAAATTTGATTTAAGAATAGAAAATTCATAAAAAAATGTTTTAACTCAAAAAAAATGAAACCAAATTCATTTTTTTCCTAATTATGCTCTACCTTTTTATTTCTCGCTTAGAATTATTTGAATCTTATATGATCTTCTAAAATTTAAAATTTAGCTAAATATGAAATGGAGGATGCACACCAAGACAAATCGCAGCGTGAATCACCACTTAACCCTTCTATGCAAACTAGGAAAAACATTTGCTCAGTAGCAATGTCTTGCTAATCATCATGTGTCATGTATCATGTGATTTAAACTTTATAAGAGCATTGTCTTCTTCGGCAGACATCATGACGATGATGTGTCGGACTCATTGAACTATCAGTGGCAGTCGGCGTGCAACTTCTCAGGCTGAACTGACGTGTGCAACTTGGGCGACAAGACCACTTGTTCGTCGTCGTCATCATAGGTTTGCGCACGCATCGAGAGCAAATAATTGAGCGGGAAGGCAGTTTGGACAAGCTCGAAATGTCAAACTTCATTCGTTTCATAAAATCTTGCTCTATTTTTTTTTAAATAAGTCTAAGTGATCTCCACAAACGATAGTCTATCTTACCTCGTTGACATAGCGTGACGTTAACACGATGCCAAATTAGCCAAAACCGCTTCCGGCACCACGTTAGCAAAAACGACCTAGAGATGTAAATCGAATGTTTTCAAGAGTTGAGTCTAAGAATCTGGTTTTCTGTTAACTGAAGCAAATCGGACTCATACAATGGTCGGATGTACTTTTTCAGACAGATTAAACAGAACACACAAGGAAGGATGCACCACGTACGCTTTCACATGACGTCTTCAGAGCCCAAACAAACAGGCCCGAGGATGTGTCACACACTACCAAGCGCCCAAGACGATGAGCCCACACGCAAGCTCCGGAACTCTGAATGTAGGCATGAAAATAGAGGTAATACCATAACATATAACTATTGCGCGTGCTCCCGACAAAACACAAACATCAATGAACCCAACATCAAATGCAACTCAATACTATGTCGCACATGACCAATTTACAGCGGACGACATCTTCCCCCCATGTTAACTACAGTACCATCCTTCCATCGGATACAATGCACCACTCCTTTAGTCCTTTTCTTTTGGTCTTATTTGTGATGCAAAATTTTCTATGTACAAAGATGCAATGCCCCGAATGTCACTTTTGGCCCATCAACACCGAAGCGATTACATGTAGGATTAAGCGGATGTTCATTGTGTCTGATGTGTTGGTTGTTGGCATTGACTGCTGGTGCGCAAGAGCACCATAGACTTGTTCAAATATTGGCCTTATATGCATAGCGATCATCGGATCTGTTGGTTGTATCGCCACGGCACCATTTGTCATCCATTGAAGCTTCCCGGAGGCATCGTTGGCAATGTCACATGCTAGCTGCTGGAAGAGCGCTAGGAGGACCCCTTGGTCCAGAGGGATGGGAACCGTTCCACATAATGTTTGCAAATCAACCTGAAATAAACGTGCAAATATGCACATAATATTTATAAAATTAAAAAACAAGATGCCCAAATTATCTGATAAATGACTGCTTTCTGTAATGCGTGAAGCATGTTCCACTAACCATTAATTGAAAGTTTAAACGACGATAACATGACTTCCAAATTTTAGCAAAAGATTCAGTTGATGCATGTCTGCTCGGTGCGGTAAGGAGAATTTTAAATGGGCCCGAATTTACCTGAGAACACAACCAAGAAACTATGGCGACATCACTCCTTTGAAGAGCCATTGTAAATGCCTCGTTGAATTTCTGCTCAGCAATCAGTCGACCTAGTTCTTTCATAGGGTTCAATGGAGCATTAACCTGACAGCAAATACAACAAATCAATCATCCAGGGAAACACTATATTCAACTATACAGATAATAACAGATGATAGCAGCATCATGATTTCAAGATTTACTGATTTAGAAGCATCTTCTACTTCAACAAGATTGGTCACTGGTCCGTTACTGGGCTGCAAAGCACCTGTGGTCTTTGATGTTGGGCTCCCTGATGCAAACAGTGACAAAAGTTTGCGCTGGCCGTCAAGCAACTCTGATGTAAGACCCTGGTTCATTGACGATGCTGAAGTGATTGCTTCCTGAGAGAATTAAAATGGACAGAAGGCATGTCACTCAACATATGGGGTGAAAACTGAAAATAGATAAAAGACGACATATTGGTTGGAGTGTTTCATCTTTCCGTTGTGCATCTATTGTTTACAACAAAAGATTTGGTAAACTTACTGTCAGAGTTTGTGCTAATGGAGTATGTGCTGTCAGGACCTGCTGCTGGATAGCAGCCGTGTACTCAGACATGCCCATGTGGAATGCGCCATCTACTTGCTCGAATATTGTCTTGCATGATTGTTCAAATGCCGGAATAACTGATGACTCAAAGCTAGAGCGGAATGTGTCCTGCAGGAATGAAATCAAAAGGAGCCAGCTGCTTAGTACCATATCACTGAAACACAAGACATTAACACCACAGCCTACTGCAACTCGTTTTTCTAGTTGGTGGTGCAGTGCTATCAGAAGTGTCCCCTAGTCATTCTAGTAGCCTGGAAACTCTGGAAGCACTGAAATGCATGTGTGTTTCGAAGGGCAAACCCCAATGTTCAGGTGCTTTTGCAAACAGTGGCCACTGGGCGTAGCTATGGTGCATGGCTGGAGCCTCAGCACTCCACAAGATCCTCCTTGCTTGCCCCAGACTATCAGACAGTCTTATTAGAGGTTGTGGTTGTCTAATGTGTAGTCGTAAGTAATTTGTTCGTCATTCTGGGTATGTTTGTGATAAGATCCTTGATCGAGCCGCCCCACGTGGAACACGTCATGGAAGACGGGAGGTCGGGGCTTGATCTCACGGCGGCGGTGTGGAGCCGTGGCGGCGAGAGGGAGCGGCGGCGGCTGCTTGCTGCGGCTGCCCTAGGGGCTCACGTGAGGGAGAGAGGAGGGAGACAGGAGAGTCACGTAGATGGCCCTTGAGGCCAGGCAAGATATTTGCCTTGCTTGATTCATTCTCAATTGTTTAAGGGGTATTTATCCCCTCTTGCTAGTACAAGCGATCCTATAATTTAGGAAATAATAAAATATCTAATATAAAGGAAATATCTAATATGAAGGAAATCTGGGCACGTAGCTCTCTCTGGACGCCGGCAATCTGGGCGTGTCGCCCTTCCTTTCCAGGGTGCGGCCACCCTAGCCACTGGGCCTGGGCCGGCGCTGATAGGAGATGCCCGTCATAACAGTTAGTGTGTTAGGAAGAGCTTTCTTTGGCCTCTCCTTTGTACATTCCTTCCGTCTTAATGAAAATGACACACAGCTCTCTGGCGTGGTTCGAGAAAAAAAATAAACAAATTCCAAATACGTAAATAAGGTGCTTGGTGCTAAGCTAGCATTCTTTATAGTTGGTTGTATAAGTTGTGGTATTTGCAAGAGGATGTTAATAATATTGTTTAGTTGACTTGACAAAACCCTTAACTGTTGTGATGTTTCAAATTTTGTAGTACTAAACTAGTATAAGCAGTTGTTTAGGTGACTAAATTCACAAGCATAGTGTTTGGGGATGTGTGTACATAAGAGAACCATGCTGCATCGAATAATGTGACTAATCTGATGACACAAGACGAAAGCAGCACAATACACTTGTTTTACGTATTCTTATCTAAGGATCCACCTATAGGTCCTCAGATCAAATTCCTGAAATCAACTCCACCCTGGGCACAGAAGAGTTAGTTCAGGCAACCAAACCACCCTCCGTATGTGGCAATGAAGCATGTGTATATATTTATAGCTCATCAGCCCATCTTCACTGACAATTAATGATGATCTGGAAGGAACAAAAGTAATAACAAAGATAAATACCTGAAATGACTGCTTGGCAGATGTCTGGAACTGTGTTTGGGTCTGCCTAGCAACGCTAGCTTCAAGTTTAGAGCTTACAGACTTATCTAGCTGATTCACAACCTTCTCGCTCAGCACTTTCTGAAGAGGGAGTTCATTAGTTCAATGAGAGCAATGACGAGAAAAATCAGAATAAAAATAAACTGCAACCTGAAGTGAATCAGACACAGCAGTAGATAAGGACTTCTCAATGGTAGGTGCTGTTGTCCGAGCAACAGCATGTCCCAGTGAAGATATTTCCTTCTTTAGTGACTTCTCCAGCATAACAGAAGTATCCTTGTTTACAGAAGTTGCAATTAGAGTAGCCATCTGCTGCATTCGCTCTCTTTCAGACTTCTCATGCCCTGCATTTTCCTCCTGGAAACGGGCCCACATGGCATCAAAGTTAGCCTTGATGGACTTTTCCACGTTTCGACCCAGTGATGCCTCGATCCTTTTACATTCCTTTTCAGTTGGAGCAGACACAATTGTGCTCAATCGATTTTGCAGGTTACTGTATGAAGCCATAAGCTGCAAAATGACAAACACAGTATGTAAATGAAAATCGTGATGTCAAAGATACACGCTGAAGGTCATCATTTTCATACAAGGATAATAAAATCAATAAGTTTTCCTTGGACAGCATCAACAAAAATGAATAGAAATACTGACACCTGATGGTGCAATATGAGCACAAGAATAGGTCCACGATAGTAACTTGACCGGGAAGCTGAATCTTGATGACACCCGACAGTTAAATCATTTAGCCACTACTACCGGCATTTTTTTTAACTGCAGTTTTCGAAGTTGAAGATTTGCAATACTGATGACCATTGTTTTTGCAAATCACATGTCACCAAACTACAAAACATACAATAATAGGCTAGAAACTGTAATCACACAATTTTGATGTGGTGACTAAATAGTGAACATTTTTTTCCTGGTAAATGTTATGCCAGACTAACAATACAAAAAGGTAGGGGACTAGAATTTTTTACTATACAACTAACTGACCAATTATGAGCATGATGTCCATATCAAATCTATTCTGAATCATGGGAACAATTGAAGCAGCTCATTTGTTAGGAGTAGATCAGATAATGCTTCATTGCTATCCAAAGTTCATGATAGAACTTAGAAATATTATGCAATGCAAACACAAATAAAACTTTTAATTTCAACGTCACAAAATTTGTGAATATATTCATATACCCAATATTATAAGAAAAGATAAACAATCCGCCATTTCTTATTTTGGAAAAAGAACATGAAACTTATATGACAAAGACACTGATGTCTCCTGAGTCCAACAATCTAAGCGATTTAAATATATAATAATAATGTAGTTAGTTTGAATATAACTACTGACTGATTAATTTTGTACATCTATGCAACATTGATAACACTAATCTACTACTATCATATATAAAGTGATGGACCATAACTCAATTATCTAAGATGAATTTTGCCAAAAAAATATGGAGGAAATCATTGCATCTCAGAGAAGACAATGTGGTGCCCAATACACATTCCCTAGAAAATATTTTTAAGCAGTCAACAAGAGCATATATTAAACACAGGATTCGCACAGTGGGGCAAAAATATTTAATGCAAAATCACCAGCTGCATTGTTCCTCGAATAGCTTCAGCATGCAGAGAGGAACCAACAGGAGGGTTCTCGTTGTTTCGAGGTTCACGCGAGGGATCAATAGAATTGAAAGTGCTTGTAGAAAGAGACAGTTGCCCAGGCACTTGAGGATGCATGATTTTTCCCTCTTTGGTAGCTGAGGTTAACGGTAAATCCCTTGAACAAGGACTGTCTATTCCCTCGGAAGCTTCAGTTGCCCTTTTCACAACATTTTCATCTCCAGACCCAGAAGACTGTTTCAAAAGTATGGGTACTGGTCTATCAGCCAGAGGCCATGAATCCTCTATGCTGTACTTGTCAGTTGTTATTGTGCGTGCACTGACTGTGTCTACAGTTTGCTCTGAAGGCTTGGCAGGTCTCTCTTTCTCAGAAAGAATTTGGGTCTCCTTACCAGCCTCAAGTTCAACAGTTTGATCTGACTTTCTCTCATCGAAATGTTCTGCTTCTGCTTTTACATTCTGCAAGCTGCCACTTGCAACCGATTCAGCAGATGTGAGCACACCTGAAACGATTTCAGATGGAGTTACCAAGTGCATAGCATGGCCTCCTCCCACCTGAAACACAGGACAAGGATCTGAAATTGCTATACCATCACTCTGGCCACCTCCCGGCTCTTCCTTTCCAAAGCTATCATTTCTACCAAAAGATGACTGGTCCGCATCACAATCACCATGAGATGGAGCTCCTGAAAAAATGTCTACTTAAGACAACTGGAGATCCAGCCAGATTCATCTTTGATGTAGAATCTACAGATGGAACATGGGGAAGAAGAACCAGCTTCTGCATAACAAACTGGTGGAATTCTCTCCTACAATCACAAGGTTAGCCCCGGCATCTCCCATGGGACACGTTAGCAAAAAAGATTTTAACCGTTTGATCTCCATCGTGTGGCTCAGGTTCTTCCCACCATCGTGTTACTGTTTGCTGCCCATCACCCCTTCTCCTCCACGCAGAAAAAAAGGCCGTCCTCTCTCTCTCAGGGGGCGGCGGGCATGGCGACGGCGGCCAGTAACACCTTCGGTGTTACACCATAAATCATTTACTAAAATATGTCATGAGCATTGTATTTATGTGTTAATGTATATGATAAAGTGTGTAGATCAATTTCTATAACTCGAAACGATCAACTAAAATACGAAACGAAAGTTGATTCGATAGTCATGTTATATCACTTAGGGTTTAAAACCAATTTTTATTAAGCAAAACTGCTATAGAACATGTATGTGATACTTAAATAAAGTTTGGAGTACAAATTTTGTAGATGACAATAAAATACTTGCGGTCGAAAAATGATATTATTAGCTAATATTTCCACTAGCTTAGAAATCGCGAATGGAAATCAAATCCAGCTCAAAAACTTAGAAATTTTCAAGTCTGCCGCCAGCTAGACATTGCTATGTTTAGCAATTTATTGTGAGAGATTGGGTTAAAGGGTGGTGTAGTGTTATACCTCGATTTGGTAGTCTCATGTGCCATCTTGAGCATGGTGAAGACGGTTTAGGTTTAGGAGATTCGTGTGTGTCACGGTTTCGGGCTGGTTAGCCTGCGTGGCCGCGATCACCGCGCTCAGGCGCTCGGCGTCGCCGCGTTGGTCGCGCGTGTGCGTGTGCGTGCGCGCGCGTGGCCGGCCGTGGCCGCCTCTGGCCTGGCCAGGTCTCGGCTGCCGCTAGCCCCGCCGCGTAGAGCCGCTGTTGCTGCTGCCGACTGCCCCGCACGCGCCGCGACGGAGCTGCTGCCGGCGCCATCAACTCGTCGTCGCGTCCGCACTGCCAACCCACCTCGCGTCGCGACGCTACCGCTATCGACGCCACTGCGACATTGTGCTGCTGCCGCTTGCCTTGTCCTAGTTCGCATGTGGGCTGCCCCGTGCCGTCGTCTCGCCTTAATGGCGCTGTGGCTGTGCATGCCGCGCCCCCACCTGCCCCCGCGCGTGCATGTGGTTTGGCCAGTGTCATGTAGTGAGTGCATAGACGCCGCCCTAAGTCCGGTCGGCCGCGTCCCGCCAAGGCGTGGACGAGCCGAACCCACTGCCGTGCCCGTCTCTCTCTCTCTCTCTCTCTATTTTCCGCTGCCGCGCGTCCTGTCACGGTAAAGCCAGAGAGCGAGCACCTCTCATCAATTCTTCGTGCTTGCGTCTCCGTCTTCATGCCCCCTCTCCATCCGACCCCACCCGTCTTGACTCGCGTCACGCCGAGCACCAATTTTGGAGCTTTGCCTGCCACCGTGCCGTTAAGGCCCGTCACCGCTCGTGCCGTGGCCAGCCTCCACCACTTCACCCCGTGCTTGGCCTTGTAGATAGGTCAGCGTGGGTCCCATGTGGCCGGCATAAGCGCCAGTGCCACCACTCGCCGCGCCGGAGCACGCGGGGAAGGCCGGGGGCCTTGCCGTTGTAAAGAGGAGAAATATCCAAGGGTTCCGTTGCAAAGTCGTTGTCTATAGAAATAGTAACGTGGATTGTGGGTTGTTTTGCTCGAAGTCCAGGGGCATTTTTGCTAATGTGCCAGTGCGCGTGTGATTCCCCCCCCCCATGGGTCGCCTCGCGCTGTAGGCCGGCCTCACGTGGGCCACGCCTATGGGCCGCCGCGCGCTCGCGCGCAAGCACGCGTTGCGCCGTGTGGGCCGCGTTGTGCCGAAATCAGTTTAGTTTTTTCGTGGAGAATAGAAATAGATTTTCATTTTAATTCTGAGTTGAACTTTGGTAATTAATATAAAATCATGTATCCAAAAATTATGAAACAAATTTTATTAAGTTCCTAAAATTGTGCTCTATCTGTTAGTGTATTTAGTTCATATATATACTTGTTGATACAAGGAGCTATTAAATCAATTGAGAGTGCTTAATATTATTAGGTTAAATATTGTAGGAATTTTTGTGGCAAAATGGTGATAGCTTTAGCTTTGAAAATTTTACAGTAGCTTTATGGTATTATTATGTGCTCACTGTAATTTTTGTAGCCCTAAAATAAACTATTTAATATGGTAGCTAAATACCCATTAAGGCTAAATGGATAATGGCATGATATTGGTTTATAAAAATTAAACACTTGTAGGGTGAGCTTGGAATCTATTTGATAGAGGTAATGATTAGCTTAGTATTTTAGTCATTAGAGCTAGTTTAGTAGCTTAGCATGTGTATTCTTGTTTTAAGAGTCGCTGCTGCCAAAATACTAAGTGTTGCATCATCATCGCATGCATGTAGAGAACGAGTTGGCGGAGATCGTGACCATCGGAGATCACGAGTTCGAGGAGGTGGTCCAGGAGTGTGAGGAGGAGATTCTCGTGTAGGAGGAGGTCCCGGAGCCGCCACTGACTAACTGAGCTGACACCGCGCCTGCCCAAGACAAGTCCCGGTGCATAACCCTTATTTTAAATGATCACTGGATATATATATATATGATGTGCATTTATGTTACATGATTTATATTAAAAATACATGCATAGATAACCTACCTATGAGTCCTACTAGCATAGGTCGAGTAGCTGCTATGCTTAGGCTATCGGTAGCGTAACCTGCCGTTACTCACAATAAATGATTATTATTACCACTCTCATGATAAAATGGTGAAAAGAAATAGAGACCGGACAGGGATATGATACGGGTATTGGTAGATAAAAGAGGTTGTGTCCCGCGGCCAACGGGGCATGACTTGGTTACACTATTTTCCCTGTCCGTGTCGGTTAAGGATCGGCCATTGCATTGGATTCTAGTTAGGTCACAGACTTATTATCCTGAGCACATACTTGCTTATGGAAGCAGGAAGGCTCCTTGCTCTCTTGTCATGGGTTTCGGCTATTTTTGGACCGACTGATTGGAGGCGGGGATGGTGGAGGTCTAAGGACCACACTGAGTCCGGGACTCAGGTGTGGGGGCTTGGAGTCCAAGTTTGGACGGGGACCTGGACCCCTTGACAGGAGAGTGGTGGGTTGATCCTGCTTGTGCCTGGGGTACAAGCGGAGCGTGTGTTTTGGGGTACCCAGCTGGGCTACATTGGTTCGCGAATCATCATGTAATACGATACGACTTATCTATGATCTAGCACCGTAGTAAGAACTAGAAGATGAAAGATGATGAAATCAATCTGATTGCTCAACTCTTGCTTAAAAGTAGAACATGTGCTTACATAGAATGGTTAAATAATGAACTAATCATGACTGCTAATAAGAAATATATATAAGAATTCACTACTAGTATTGCTTTTCACAAAAAGGAAACCCAACAAACCATAAAACCTATCATATCCTTTGAAGTCGGGAAATTATTCCCACTAGTCGGGTAAGTCTTGCGAGTACATTATGTACTCAGGGTTTGTTCTATCCTATTGCAGGTGTAGCTTGAGGAGTAGCTGTTGTGTGGACGATTCTTCTGGTGGGCACAGACAGATCCTTATATCTTATCGTTAGATGTTTATTTTAATTCCGCTGTTTAAATTCCACACTCTGAACTTGGTATTGTAATAATGTATTTTCTAAGAACCTGTTATATGAAATGGATTAAGTATTGTAAACTCGTTCTCATTATTGGATCCTAAAGGAAAAACATGGATTATTTGAGTTCTTCCTTAGGGTGTGCTCGACGAAACCGTCCGATGTAGCTTACTTTCGGGGTGCTTAGTGTCTGGTGAAAGACGAGCGCCTCCGGAAGTGTGCTATTTTGGGCGATTCTGCCATAGGTGGTATCAGAGCCAATAATGAGTCTACGAGTTTCATAACTCTTTTCTAAAACATAAAATTTGACCAACAAAAGCTTTGTGAAAAGTAGGATGCGATAAAATTATGTAAATAAGTATAAACCCTAGCAGTATGGTCTATCTAGAATAGTGACACTAGTTTTATCTAATTAATTTTCTATAGATACACTAACTTACGCTACGTAAGAATCATTTAGCAAGCGAAAAGTGAGTGTGCGATGTGCCGAAAAGTTTTGCGAATGCCGCTATATTCCGGCTTGAGTGAACGGGTAGGCCGATGCATGTATCATGAAAAGAGAATCTTGCTTAAACTAAACTCCCCCACACATATAATTTGGATTAGTGAATTGATAGGATAATCTAAAAGAATGCTTCGTCTAAAAGCCTTATCATTTCTCTAATCTCTTATTCCTGGTCTGGAGGTGTTGTCCCTAATGGTTGGTTCCTATCTATTTATAGATGAACCTGAGGTCTGGTTGGGGGAGTACCAGCGCTGGGGCAGACCAGGGTGATAACGGTCACGATGAGGGCATTGGAAACACCAATGGGGACAGCCACGAAGCCCCACTTCTAGCTCCTCGTCCTCCACCACCACCACCTCCGATGACCCATGCGGAGATGATGGCAGAGATGCTGGCTGCTCGGTACGAGTCAGCCCATGCCTTGAAGATGCTAGCCCAGGCGATTGGTGGCTTTGCCCGTGGAGGCCCTGGTGGCAATGGTGGGAACGGGGGTGGTGCCCGCGGTCCCTAGGGGCCCTGTTCTTACCAGGATTTCTTGAAGATGAACCCACCCATGTTCACGCCGACTGCTAAGCCTCTAGATGCGGAGCATATTCTAGAGCAGAAGTTTCAGCTGCTCACGGTGACTGAAGAGTAGAAGATGCGCTTTGCCGCACAATAGTTGTTGGGTTTTGCCAGTGCATGGTGGGACACGTTCAATGCCATGTAGCTGGTGGACCACCGTATGACTTGGCAGGAGTTTACCGTTGCTTTCAGAGAGTACTACATTCCTACTGGTGTGTTGAACAGGAAGTTGACTGACTTCCTAGATCTAAAGCAAGGGAGGATGTTTGTGATGGATTATGTGAACAAGTTCAACCATCTAGCACAATATGCTAGGATCCACGTCTATACTGATGAGAAGAAGAGGGACCGTTTCTATCATGGCCTCTCTTGTAGTTTGTAGGAGCTGTACACAGGGAACTACCAGACTTTTGGTG